TTTCTAAACCTCTTGTCATTTTTTTTTTTTTTTTTGGTTTCTTCTGGACTCTATCCAATTTGATCTCACTTTTGTTTTTAAAGGGTGGTGTCCAAAACTGGCCACAGTACTCTACCTGAGGCCTCACCAATGTCAAGCACAGCTCAAGAAGTATCTGCTATATCTTACATAGAGTTTAAGGCCAGAAGGGACCACTAGATCATCTAGTCTGACCTTCTGTATAGTACAGGCCACCAACAACACCTGCACCTGGACATTCTTCCATCTACATCAGATATTCCCTGTTAATATATCCCAACATACGGTTCCCAAAATCCTCCCCATTCCCAGGGGCGGAGTTTGTGATACTGCCACACCAGCTATGGCATTCAGGTTCTAAGGGATGACAGCTAGGGGGGATACTGATCATGCTCTCTGCTTCCCTGACATGCTAGTGAGGACAGGGCAAGTGCTTCATGTCTGACTGGGGAGAAAATTCTCTTCTACTGTAGTGAAATTTTGCCTATTCACGTAGCCTCAACTTAGGGCTCCATAAAGGTGGATAGAGAGGATGAATGTGAAACAGGGCAAAGTGGAAACCCTGCTGGCTTCCAATACAATTAACACTCAATTTTTAAAAATAAACTGAGTAAAAATATTGAGTTTAGAAAGAGTGACGAGTCACCTGGATAACTGGCATGTGAATGAGGACTTATTCTAGTGTAGATTCAAGCAGAAATACAAATATATGCTCTCTTTTTACTAGCATTTCCCTCCTCTTGCTTTTTTCTGGCAAATGAAAACTAGTGATCACCACCACAGTGGGATAATATGTCAATCCAGTTTAATTACTATTAAAGCAGGTAGGTGTATTTTCACTACATGTACTTGATAGCTAGGGACATCCTTTGCAAAGTGAGAGATGTCAAAGTTTAATTGGGGTCCTCTGGACTCTCCCATTCTCAAATCTACATATAGCAAATCACGGATTAAATAAGTTTTCTTTATTTTACGTTAGTTGTAGATGGCTGAGATGAAAAAAAATACATGAAATGCGACCCCATAAATGTCAACACCTAACTGGAAAAAATGACCAGTATTTGCCACTTGTATTTTTGTGTAATTATGCCAACTGCATTTCAGAGTTTGTTACCCTATCTCTACAATAGCCTAAAAGAATTAAAGAATTATCAGTTAAGCCTTCCTAATGAAGAGGACAGAAAACATTAAGTGGTATATGCACAGTGAGAAAACACATTATGTTAGAAAATGTATTAGCTAATTTTTTTAACTAAACTGATACTGTACATGATATAGCACTTAGTATACAGACAGGGATAAATTGTTTATTGTGTTCAGCTCACATATTTTTAAACATGTCCATCTTTGTCCATGCTAAGAGCACAATAGGGTCTAATGTCATAAAATGTGCTAGATAAAATGTGCGTTAGCTCCTCTTCCCACTGTAGACAAGGGCTAGGTAAATGATGGTTTGCTCTGGTGAAATCCTCAATGTAGACAAAGTTAGCGTGTGCATGAGAAAACGCAACTGCTTGTTCAATGGACACCTGGAGGGGGCGGAGGGTATGTTTTGTTGTTTGTGTATCTATCTCACTGAATGTGTACAAATCAGGAAACATCTAGGACTACTCTCCTAGAGATTTTTTGGGAAATAATGTATTATACGGGATACTTAAATGTTCCTGATTTCAGATATACAAGCAGCCTTGACAACATCCTTTGATCTCACTCAATCAGGTGGGAAGTTCTTTTTGGGGGCAAAAGAATACTTTTGAAAAAATCTGATTAATACCCCAAATCAAATAATCCATAATATTTATATTTACTTCTACAAACATTTGTCAAACCTCTATAACTAATTCAGAACCCAACATATTCAGATCTGATTAAAAAGTGCAGCCCTAAGACATATGGTGTCCTCTACATAGACAGTAAAATATAAAATCCACCATAGAGATATTTGTATCCCAAGGCAGTTAAAAGGTATGTGGGAAAAATCAAGTTACTTTTTACAAGAAAGAGTCTTAAATAATGAATAAAATAATAATAAATCAACATTTATACTATGGTAGTGCCTAGGGGCTTCAACCAGGTTTGAACCCCACTATGCCATGCAATGTTACAAACATACAATAAATGATGGTCTTTGACCCTTTTGACTCTTATATAATGTAAATATGATGTGACTAAATTTTGAGACCTTCTGGCACTTCTGTAGTTTAAAAGGAAACTCTTTAAAGTGTAAAGTAAGCAATTCAGTCAGGAAATTATCTGCCAAAGCTAAGAAAGATCAGGAAATGCCAGCTCTACAATGCAGGAACACGACTGCTTGTACAAAGGCTCAGAGTGTATACCATTCAAATTGAAAGACACCATTTTGTATGTTAACACTTCTGGTATGTGTGAATTCCCCAGTCCTGCCAAAAGAAATACAGCTGAGAAGAGTATGAGTTGACTTGTCTGACAGGAATGGACAATCTCAATGACTTCTTTAATATTGTAGTTTTTATTTTTGTAAGACAGGATATTGGGTCTTCCATTTTTCTGATGTCGTCAGTACAGTTTAACAATTAGGTTATGGCTCAATGGATATATTGGAAACTGATGGAGGACTCTTGCTTCAGATAAGCATCTAGAATGTCCGTCTCCGTGGCTGTTGAAAAGGGTTTGGGTGGGTAGAACCAGGTGGTAGTGGTTATAGGTGGAATGCTTCCTTCAAAGCTCTCACATAGTTTGCAATAGAAGGTACATTACAAATTATTAGATCTTGTCTAAGTTAGAGCTCTTTGCAGCAGCAAAAATCCATGTCAATGTAAATCATCAGTGTAGAGGCACTGCAGGGGTGTAAAAGGGCCTTGCATTGGTGTTGCAGTGCATTTACAGGGTGGGGTTTGCACCAGGGTATCTGCACTGGTGCAAAAATTCTCATCCAACCAAGCCTTTAACGCTGCAGGTAGCAACAACTACTTCTTTGTAGCTTCGCCTGCACTCTGACTTGGTGGTGGAACTCAGCATAGCAGCTGAGCCAGAGTCACTGGTGCCACAGGCACAGATCTAGGTGTGCTGTCAATGGGGAGTCCAATACGGGGCATGGATGGCCTCCACATTGATGCTTTGACTTCTCCGGAATTGGGATGGGAATCCTTGGTAGATCCTGGAATTCTGAGTGGTTGGAAGGATGTGCCCCCTGCTCCTTGCACTTAATTTCCCCTTCACGGGAGGATTCTAAACGGACTTCAAGTCACGGAGTTGTGACACTACATTTTGCCTTGCCCTCCTCAATCCTGCCATTTCCCTAACACTGCCACTGGTGCCAGTCACCACCATGACTACGTGCCTGTATGTTATATCCCTGTCCCCCATTTTACATTTGTTCACTTATCTTTTTGTTTGCAGACTCTTTGGGGCAGGGACTGGCTCAATGGTCCCCATGTCTTGATTGAGACCCTTGAGTGTATTATAGATGATGACATATTATGTGCTTTTTGTCCACAATGTCCCATAATAACTAGGAACTAACAGGCATGGGCCCTATCCTGATAGGTGCTGAGTACTCCCAAGTCACTAAGGAAAACTGGTTGCTCAACAACCCTCAGGATTAGACTCTCTAATCATTGTAGAATGTGCTATGGCTTGAAGCTACAGACCATATTCCAATCACAGGGAGAGGTGGTTTGTCCACAGAAGCTGTGCTGTAATAGGAGCCTCTAGGGAAGAGTTCTCCATACTTTGCTAGAATTGCTCATGAGGACTCCTAGTGACCACATGCCGCAACTGCAGCAGCAGCTCCCCCACCTGGGACAGGTTGTACAGTGCACTCCTCCCAGTGATGTAGTTAATGAAGGAGTGGCCTTGCCCTCAGCCCTCCCCTATGAGGATATGGCATTAATGTGGAGCGGTGGCTCTACTTGCTGTCCAGCTACACTGTCTCTGCCCCCTCCCTAAGGGATATGTGGGTGGAGACGGTGCTCTCCCCTCTGTAGCCCCTACATCCAGAATGGCTGCTTCCCTTGCAATTCCCCACCCAGCTCCTTCCAATGTATGCGAGATCCTCAGCCTCTGATCCCAACCACATCCTGTGGCCTCATCTAAATTCAGCCTTTGCAATATCTTCCCTCGTGATTCCTCCTTAGCTCTTGAGGACAGGATAGTAATTTCAATCCCTCTCTTTTTCCCCAAATAAGAGTGAACTGGCTGGGTAGGGAGAGGAACCAGAAGTTATCAGACATGTTTGTGGATGGCACATGTGTTGGGAGTTCTGAGAACTTTAGCTTCAATCATGTATAATCGTGTATGGGTATTAAAAATGACTCTAGTGATTAACAATACAGTGAATGTGCAAATCCCTCTGCCCTGATTGGCTAAGGGCCATTAAGAAGCTCTGAATTTGCATACTTTACAATTATTGAGAAACAGTCATACAGACATTATGCAAATCAAATCCACTCAGCTAAAGGGCAAGGAATTGCATAATTTGATAACTGAGGGTTTGTCTACACATGGAATTATTCCAGAATAGCTGTTTTGGAATAAAGTTCTGGAATAACTATTCCTGAATATTATGTATGAACACTCTTATGTCATAATAAACGTAATCCAGTTTACTTATTGAAGCGCAACAATGCATAACTTATTGAGACTTGTGAAACATCAAAAAATGGTTTTCAAAAGTGAAATTGAGTGAGAGGGCATGGGAAGGAAAGGGGTGGGGACTAAAAGAATTAGGACCTCAAATGCCATTCAGATCTGCTGATGGTTCTAGACAGTCTAAGGTGGGGGAGGGACAATTAACAAAATGAACACAATGGATAAGCATCCATAATCTTGACTAAATACTCTTTAGTGATGTGTGTAGGAAACGTCTTTTGAACATAATCCACTTTCTGGAAACACATTTTCCAAAGTAATTCGGTCAAATCAACAAAGGCCCTTTTGAAAAATTGTACCATCTGAAAAATTAAGGGTTTGGACTAAAATTTTAAAATAATATTTATTTGCATGTAGGGATAGTGGTTGAAATGATTACTTATACAATATCTTCAAGTATGAAACTATTATAATACAAATGACTGTCTCTTTAGGATGGCTCTTTCAAAGTTTTAATTTAGTTAGTGGGAAAACAAATCAATCCAGATTGACAAGAAAACCATTACTTAATGACTTAGTTTTCTGTCTTTTCAACAGCTGAAATAGCCAAAAGAGATAATAAATTATTAAAAATTAGATATTTAAAGCAAAATCATATTAACAATACAATTATGGCTGTCTTAGCCTAAGTAGGTGTAAATATAACATCTTCCACTGGAAGAATTGATCTTTCAATATTAAACGTCATAGAAGCCAATATTTGAAAGCAATTAATAGGGCCACTTCAAGATGGGTGGGGGAAGAGACATACTTATGGCCCCTGTTTTAATGCATAGGAATAGATGGATTTGTTGTAGGATAAAATAAAAATTCTGTTCTTTTCCTAATCACCCACCTATTAAAGCAGTCAGTTGGCATCCATGAAACACTAATATCAAGTGCAGATAATCAGTTCCTGCTGCTTGCCATTATACAATTAAAAGATAAAACAAAAGGCTTCATATTCATGTTACTTTCTCATTGTTAAAGTAACTACCTTTCTTGCTTCTTATCTTTGTTAGTCATTAGAGGAGCTGACAAAGCAGAGGAAACAGTAACGAAACTATAAGGATGTCTGTTGTCTGTTGAAGTTTTAGTCCTTCAGAACTCATTCCAAGATGAATCCAAGCAGGCATGTTTTTCTTTGTAGGACCTGAAGGAACAAAGCATGAATTTAAATTCCTTTAAATTAAACAGAAAAAGGTATGATTTGCATGTACTTTTCATTGCTCCAAAGTACTTCCTTTCAGGCTTCAGCTGAACACCCAGCTATGGAGACTCTTTCAAGGGAGTGTTTACAGTTCTGAAAGAGTTGCGAATGGCAGCACTCAGAGAACATTTAAGAAATGACTGATGAGATTTGATGACACTTGGGAGAGAAAACCTCCAGGTATTCGTATGTAAATCCCAGATATTTGCCAGAATGTTGCTTTTAAGTACTGCCATATTTTCTTTGCAAGTGCATATGGAGTAAGTACAGGGAGGTAATGTTCCCCCTAGAGACCCAGAAACTGGTTTTAATGTGAAAGAAAAATGTCAGAGTACTAAAAGCTTTCAGGTTTTTCCTTTCTAAATAAAAGCCTCCAGGGAACTTGAATGGAAAAATTCCTTCTAAAGAGATTACCAAATTTGTTAATTCACTTGGTCTTTCCAGGTTAATTGGATTTTGCTAATCAGAATGCTGGCCCCTTGTATTTACCTTGATTCTAACTTCTTAAGGGCTTAACATGGTAAATATTTAATGAAGAGAGATCTTTTCTTTTGTCCCACACAAACACAGATAAATTATAGTTTAGCAGATCTCTGTCTAAAAGGAAATCTGGAAGGAACAATTTTCTGTTACATTATGTACTATATAAAGATTTTCACTGTGTGTGTGTGTGTGTGTGTAATATATATTATAAAAATGCTATATAACATTCTGTATACATATTTTATATGCATTATAGGTCACAATTTTTTATATATATATAATCTAAAAAGAAGTGTACCCTGTAACTCCCCCTCAATTCAGAGAGATCTGCTAAGTTAAAAAATATTAATCTCTGACCATAAGGGAATTGAGGAATTCTTGAACTCCACCTCTCACTCCATTAAATTTCTCTGAGAGGTTTAGTATTTCACCCCACACTCCAGATACTTATCCAGATCTTTAAAAACCAAAAATATTAACATGAACTTTGTGCTATTGAAAGGTGTTGACATACAAAATCTCTTATTTATCCACCGGTCAAGTCCATTGTGGTCAGAGATTGTACAGACTTTCCCATAATATCCTGACAGTGTGCCTCCATACTGGGCTAGAGGGGTCACCTCTAGTGAAGGCAAGTCCCTACACTTATCTTTCTAAAATTTCCCATCATTGCTACCACTGGTGGGTATCTACTGATGATAGCAACAGCGAGAACTCCAACGTAACCAAGACCCCAGCAACTGTCAATGTGTTAATCACAGTGTCAACTAGATCTGATTTGAGCAGGATTAGATGACAGAATGATTACACTGCCAGTGGGCAGTATACAGTAGGGCCTGGTCTAGGTTGACATAGCTACGGTGCTTGGGGGCATTAAAAATTCACAACACCGAGTCCCATAATTAAACTGACCTAACCTCCCGTGTGTACATGGCTAGGTCAATGGAAGAATTCTTCTGTCAACTTCTTATCTACCGCTTAGGGAAGTGGATTACCTACATACATGGAAAAAGAAAAGGAGTACTTGTGGCACCTTAGAGACTAACAAATTTATTTGAGCATAAGCTTTTGTGAGCTACAGCTCACTTCACTGGACGCATTCAGTGGAAAATATGGTATTTTCGATTGTAGCTCACGAAAGCTTATGCTCAAATAAATTGGTGAGTCTCTCAGGTGCCACAAGTACTCCTTTTCTTTGTGCGAATACAGACTAACACGGCTGCTACTCTGAAACCTGTCATAGATGGAAAAAATCCTTCTGTCACTGTAGTAAGCCCTTATGTTACAGCGTTACAGCTGTAGTGCTGTAGCTGTGCCTCTTTGGGACCCGTAATGTAAATATGGCCTGGCACTCCCACGATTGGTGGGAGTTCAGTGGTGTTGGCACTGGTGGGAAATTTTCTGTCAAGAAGGCTAATAATGTAGAGATACCAGTGTAATCTTTGGTCTCTGGATTGAGAGCAAACTCATTCTAATACAGTCCAACGCTCATCCCTATGACCATGAATGTCTAATTAGGCCACTGATAAGTCATTACTTACCCGGGCTGGCACTTGAAATGGTAACAGAGGTAAAAAAACAAGACTGTACATCATAGTACCAGTTCCCTGATAAATCCATTCCTCCTGACGCCTGGCCTCAGTGTCTGGACTCACTTTCCTCACCTAGGCTGGACCCCAATGTTAAGTTTGGTCCAGGCAAAGTGTTAAATTTCCCCTTATTCTGTACATCTGGAATCCTCATTTCTTTCATTTTATTCCCAGTTTTGGAATTTGTCAGAACTCAAGAGACTCCCTTTCACTGAGTCAGACCTCCTGTCTTGAGAGGTACCTGAGGCTGCTTCTTGAATGATTCTGAATAATCCTGACACTGCCCAAGTGTTTACTCCCCTCATAGCTAATTACTGAATATATGACAGAGTTGAGCTGTGAATAGTAAAAATATGCAATAGATATGTGACTGACTGACATGAATTGTGCTTTAGAAAGGAATAATGATGCCTCTTACCACAACCATCTTTCTGGTCTTGAGGGAAACAGTGCAGAATCCCATAAATACACTGGCAAAACAAACATCCTTCCTGGGTCCACTCTCCATGGCCAATGACACCGCAGCTACTGCGGGAGGAGAACAGATTCCATAAACAGGAGTGCTGTGACTGAAAATTGAGTTTCCTCTTTCTCCTTCACTGGGAGATAATCCCTATTTGTTGCTTACCTGATCCGTTTATCACGTTCACAGTGTCTGCCAGTAAAGTGTTTTGGACATATGCAAAAACTCCCCAGGAAACAGGTCCCTCCATTCTGACAGCAGCTTCTGTTCAGTTTGCTGGCTTGAGTCAAAAGTAGAGAGAGCAGAAAGGAAGAACTACAAGTTATCTGAGGAACCAGCCTGTCAAACAGAGAGACTTGCCATGCACAGCTAGGTCACCACTAGGAAGCTGTCTGGTAAAGAGTTACCATCTGATGGCTTTTAGGGTCCACTTCTTTGTAGAAAATACTTGTCCACTGGGAAGAACCCACTACAGTTGGTTGAATTTGTTAGTCTTTTCAAATAAAACAAAGATTGAAATTAATTTCTTCCTAAATTCAGGTTTGATTATCCTCACATTCACAGAGGCCGTGATGCCCACAGCCATATGAGCAGTATGTGTAGTGTGTACCATTGGCAGGGGCAGAGCCAGCCCCACAGCAGTGGTGAGGAGGAACAGCTCTGGCTGCCCCACTACTTTTTCAAGTTTGGCCCCACAGCCCTCAGTCATGAGAGGGGAGCACCAGAACCAAAACTGAGAGAGTTGCGACATGGCACACTGGGTTGCAGCGCTGCTGCTCAGGTTATGACAAAGGGGCCACGGGGCCAAACATGAGTGTCGCTGTGACCTCCATGCACCAGGTCTCGATGTCACTCTCAAGTTTGATCCCACTACTCCCCTGTGATGACAGACAGCAGCGGGTGCCAAACCTGAGGAGGCAGTGGGGTGGCTAGCGCTACTCCTCCTCGTCACTGTGGGGCTAGCTTCTGTGTCATGGCAACCCCTTCCATCCTCCGGAGCCTTGCCCCGTCCACAGGACTCACTCATCAACAGCCCCAGGACCTGCTCAGGGAGCTGCGGTGAGTGCCCATGTCGGGGAGCTGGCTGGGAGAGGTACAGCAGGGAGCCATGGGTGGAAAGTGAACATGAGGGGCTTTTACTTAGGGCCCAGTGATGGGTCTTGGTGCGTGACTCTGTTTTGTTTCCTTGTTCTGGATGGGAGTTTTGTTGAAGAAGAAACTTTGGCCTGGAACCCCCAGAGGTACCTTGCATTGTGCCTATCATCTGAAAAAATTCTGGGGATGCCTCTGCACAGACGTAGTCCCTTTTAGAGCCCAGTTTTGCCTGCTCTGTGGGCAGTAGAGGACTTCAGTCTCCAGAGGTGTTAATCTAGTACTTTTCACAAACACTTCACTTGCTTTAAAGTAGAGGAAGTGTTTCAAAACATTTGCATCTGTTGGTAAGATATTTACATGTGAACTATTGAGAATATAAAAGATAGTCTGGATGACAGAGAGAATATGGACTGTGCCAAATTACAACAGAATGCTAGAGATCTTTCATGGGGGAAAAAAAAACAACAACCAAGTACAGAAGCGTAGATCAGGTAGCTCTGATAGGACTGGATTCCAAAATGAAATAACAGCAGTAGGAAGATATTACACAGATTTCAAGATATATACTCTCTGCGCTAACACACATTTTAGAAGTTCTTCTGAAATATGCTGGGTTAAAACAATGGAGACTAAGTTCTATTTATCTACAGAACAACTATAGCAGAGGCAACAGCTGTTTAAAAGTACCTCACCCACTAATATGCATGAAGCCTGACCTCTAAAGAGTTCTTTATAGTTTGTTTTCCACTAAAGAGGTGGGGAAGTGTAAGAATAATTACAAGAACATGCTCTCTGAATCATGGCAATAGCTTTCAGCACAGCTCCCTCGATATTCACATAATGAAGAGCATTTTCATATTTAGATAGACCAGAGGTTTGTTCCTATTCTTCTAGTGTGGGTTTTTTTTTTTTTTTCCCCCAGTTGTCTTATAACAATCAAACCAAAACAAGCATTTCTGGGAAAAACAGAATTCATAAGAAGATTTAATGTGAGTGGCAATGGCTCTCAAATGTCAGAGGAGCACTTATTTCCGAATTCTTCTCACAGATTTGTACACTTCAAGCATGGCCTCATGCAGAGGGGCATATCTATTTTCATGGAGCAGTTCTAACTGTAGAATGTGATTTTTATGACCGACTATTGTACATACATTGTAGCTTGTTCCTGCTAATAAGCTACATCATGTGCAGCATTCTTAAATTATTCATTATTTGTATTAGTGTAATGGCTCAGAGCCCCAGTCACAGACCAGGACCCCATTGTGCTAGGCCTTGTACAAACACAGAACAAGTCAATTAAGAGGTATATCACACAGTTCAGACTTCTCTTTTTAACCTGGAAACATGAGATTTTGCAAGGCAGATCAGACTACTGATCCACCTAGTGTGTGGTATCCTCTGTCTGGTCATGAGAATTGCTGATATTTCAGAGAACAAAGTCTTGCCTGCTTCCGTAGTGCATCTAAGCAGTTTTGCAGTGCTGTACATGAGAGAGATTCCTTCTCAACCCCCACAGTTCATGCCAAGAAGTGTGCAAAATGATTCTTTCTTAGCATGCATACACAATTATAAATTCTAAATCACAGTGTTAGGCAGCCCCTTTAAAACAATTTACCTACAGTGCCTGACTAGACTATACGCTGTGCTACTGAGGCTATGTCTACACTGCACTTATGTCGTTAAAACTTTTGTTGCTCAGGGGTGTGAAAAAACACTCCCCCACACACACCCCTGAATGACAAAAGTTTTAATGACAAAAAGCAGCAGTGTGGACAGTGATTCGTCAGCAGGTTTCTTTAGTTATTGTAAACAAATAGTTAAATTTGGATCATGTACACAGTGAAGCTTGATTTCCCCCTTTCCCCCACCTCGAAAATGCAAATATATGAACTGTGAGCATAGAAAATAATTTTTTTTTTTAAGAGTAGCAGCCGTGTTAGTCTGTATCCGCAAAAAGAGCAGGAGTCCTTGTGGCACCTTAGAGACTAACAAATTAAGTTGAGCATAAGCTTTCGTGGGCTACAGCCCACTTCATTGCATCCGATGAAGTGGGCTGTAGCCCACGAAAGCTTATGCTCAACTAAATTTGTTAGTCTCTCAGGTGCCACAAGGACTCCTGCTCTTTTTGCGGATATTTTTTTGATCATGTACCAGTAAGTGGCAACAAAACCCTAATGCCATGCTCCCCCCCAAAAGAGATGATTTGAGCCAACTTTCCCTTCATCTGTTTGCAAACAGCAAAAGTGAGAAGGATGTGTATGAGGTATCACCTTTAACCCTTTCCATCAATTACAGCATTAGTGCTGACATGGACTAGCAGCATTTTCTGATTATCCATGGGGCTACATTTTCCAAGTGTAACAGGATATTTTGATGGGATTTTGGGTGGCTAAATGCCATATAACACTTTGACAAGTTACAGATTGAGGTTAGATTTATACAGTGTTGCCAAGTCCGAGTATTTAAAAATCAGAAGTGTCACCCCGAAAACAGCATGAGTGGCATACAAATCAGGAGATTAAAAAAAAAAAAGTTACATTTATTTGCCTTCTCATTTCTAAGCCACTAGAGTTGGCCACATGGTTTATATTTAATTTTTACCTGGGGGTAGCTCTAATTTTTAAAGAAATCTAATCTGCTGTACAATTTTCTCTTTTCAAGACCGGATCATAAACTAGACTTTTGAGAGTTTTCCACTTTCTGGGCACTTGGCTGCTATTCATTTATTCTGTGTAACTGCTTAAAAATGGGCTCTAAAAGTTTTAGATGTGGCCATATGCAGCAAGGTCAATCTGCAAAAATACATATATATTCTCCTCGTGTGCAAAAACATGCATTTTCACACACACAGGTGTATCTTGAGTGCTTATGGGATGAATGCACAACATAATCAGAGCCCAATGATTCCATGGAATTTACTGTGGAATCCTTATCTTCCTGCAGAATTTAGATTCAGTTTCTATTAAGTACAAAGGGTCTTTCATGCAAGTATATATTTCTGTGTACAATGACACAGGTTATTCATACAAACATCACTATGTATGCAAATACAGAGTTTTGTGCATCCAACAGGTGGGCACAGAAGTATAGCCCTTGATTTTTTTAACATAAAGAAGTCAGGTTATTATGCAATGGTGCTTGCGTGAAAGGGTTTCTCCTCGAGAAGCTAGTTCACATTGGACATGAAAAACCTGTTGCCTCCCAATTCAATGAATAACTTACCATCTGTAAGCCCAGTGAAAGGTAAGACTTCAGAGGGGTTCCTCCTTCTCCTCTCAGAATTGAGGTTATTTATATCATTAAAGGTGGTTAAGGAAGTCTTTGGATTTTTCTGGTCTGGGTTATCATCACAGTTCTCCCCTTCACAGCCTTTAAATATATATTAAAAAACAACAAAAATTAGGTCAGACTCTCAGTGATGGTATACTGTAGATTTAGCTTTGACAGCTGCACAGATGATGTTCAAATAAAGTTCCCATGCAAATTTGAGGTGACGGTGAAGATGATATTCCATCGTGGTATCGAAGCTGGTCAGTATTTTATTTACCTTTTTTCTGTTTGTTTTTCTGCTTCAGGCCTGATCTAATTCTCATTGTCTGCTCTCAGTGAGAGTTGGGACAGGGAAAAAGTTTTTTGGAATGTTCTGAAATATCCCGCTGAAGCTTAGTAGTATGTATTACAATAGTATCAAGCAGCTCTGAACGAGGGATTCAGGCCTATTGTGCTAGCCACTGTACACACATAGTTAAAAGTTGCCCCCCAAAAACTACATATCCTGAGACATCAGTATTGAGCCAAATTCTGTCCTCAGTTGGGTTTAGAGTGGAATTGGCAACTGATTCAGTGTGCAGTGTTAACGGAAGACTCCAATCCTGCAAACAATCTGGTACATGCTTAATGTTACTCACATGAATAGAAGCATTTAGGATTATTCACATATGCAAGTGTTTGCAGGGTGAGGGTAAAAGCAGTTTTGGGTTTGTATTACAAGTAAAAGTATTCAAAGTGCACAGAAAAACACATTTTTCGTTTAAGAAAACCAACAAAAGCAAAATGGGGGTGGGAAGGGGGAGAGAAGGAGTTCTCTTACCATTTCCAAATTGGATTACTTGTAAAGATAGCGCCAAGCTTAAAAGTAACCTAAAACACAAAATGATACATATAAGGAAATGCTGATCTCACTAAAAGGAGTTAAATTACACATCAAAGCAGCAATAAACCTAGAATTTATGCTCAACAGTCCTGGAGTAACATAGGGTTTGAGGAAGGGAAATCAACACCTACATACAGTACTACATTGATGAGTACAAAGGAAAAAGATAGCTATAGAGAAAGATAAAATTGAAGTTAAGGATCTTAAATATAAGATTTTATAAAATGTCAATACACTTCACTAGAATGAATGAACATTGGCATTTTCCAGACTGACTATATGTATATAAAGTAGCATTAGCTTACCTAATAAGCAGCATTTTTCCTCAGGTCAGTCTGTATTTCTCTCCTTTCCTTAAACCTAAAATCCCTCTGCTGTATTTTTCACACCACAGTCCATACAATGAAGAACTCTTTCTGACAGAAGGGAACACAGAAGGCAGACTAAAGCTACTTCCTTGCACACCTCAGCTCACAGGGTAATGCTTATCCCCCTGAGCTTTAACACTGAGTTGACACTGTATGTATTCCCTGGCTCCCTGCAGCAGGCCACTTACAATTAGCACCTTCCAACTCTCTCTTCCCACCTCCTTGCTTGACCTCTTCTCATTAACTCAGCAATTTGCCAAGGGGCAAGAGGGGTGATGTTATACTGGCCCCATTATGGGGTGGCCCTGGGGCACCATAGTTAAGGTTGAACTGAACTTTCTAATATCCACATGCACACTCAGATTGTCTTGAAAATTTCTGTGCAGCATCAGGATGCAGGATGATAGGGCTAATGGTGCAAATTTGGAGTCTTTTGATCAAGATATAGAGCCCAGAAAAAAATAAAATGAGTCAGGAACCAGCAAAGGGACCATATTTGGAGTTTTTGTATGTTTGTTTTTGTGTAATATGCTACCTTGTTTGGGATTTTTTAAATATTATATACAATATTTTAATGGTTGGTAACTTATTATTTAACTGTGCAGTCCCATAAGGACCTTGACAGATAAGGGAGGGATGCAATAATAATGTATTATTTATTAGATTATAAAATGTGCATATCCCTAAATAAGTGCTTGTCTACATGCAGAGTGTCATGGGTTTAACTTAAGATATGATTTTAAACAGATTTAGTTACACTTGTGCAAAAGGTCATGTAGACACACTTGTTTCTGTTTAAACCATACTTTATTCTGGTGTAGTTTAAGGAACAGGTTTGAATGAAACTGAAATAATTCCACACAGGGATTTGCACTTTAACTAAACCAGTTTGACTAAGTGAGTGCAAGTATGTTTGCAGAAGACCCTCCATGCTCTATATTAGTGGAGGCCTGTTGCACTTATTGGGTGCATGCCTATCTCAAAGTGGTTTCCTGTTATTTCAGGTGCAGTATTGCATACCCAAGCATTTATCATTTATGAGTTCAGACCCCAATATTGAGAGATTCGCTTTAAAAAACCGTATGATTTTAAACAGTAATAAATTCTGAAGTCTTTTTTGCATTCTCGTTTTTGAGCTTTCAAGGTTCATATTTTCTACTTTTCTCTGCAAAAACAAAGGCTAGAAACTTAATTTGTATTAAATGAAGGCTAAAATTCTCATATTATCCAGGAGCATAGGCTTTAATAAAAATCACAAACATCATGAGGTGTGCAGTAAAATTGCAAGAAGTAGAAACTCTGCAATGGTGCCTCAGAAATAAACCAAACATTTTGACGTTTTCATTTCAAGTAAGTAAGTTAATATAATGGGGGCCATTGAGTTTCTATTAAAAACAGGAGCCGGTGTGACAGTCTTGTCCAGTTTGTTTTTACCTTCAGAGTTCACTGGTGAAAGAGTGCCTATGTAAAGGTATAATAAGGAAGGAGAAATTTACAGTACTCACTAATCTCACAAATCAATTCATTCTTCTTGTAATGATTCCCTCCCTAATTGACCCCGAAAATTGATCCTCTCTCTCACCCTGATCCTACTCTCTCACACACATACAAGTGGCCGATAAACAATGATCTTCATCAGGTCTCTGCATTTAAAAAAAAAGAAGTTTACAACTTAAGGGGAGTCAAAGACTTGCAAATTGAAGTAGTATTTGTTTCCATGAACTTTGACTCAGGATAATGATGGTAAACAATAATTAGTACCTGATATTTATAGATCTCAAACGATGGGCCACTTACTTATGTGAGTGGTTCCATTCATTTCAAGGGGATTACTCATCACAGATAAGGTGAGCAGGCTCCTGCAAAGACTTAAGCACACGCTTAACTTTTCATACAGTGAGGAGTTCAACAGTGCGTAAAGTTAAGCATGTTCATAAGGCCATGTCTACATTACGGGCACTAGTGTCAGGGCATAGCTACTGCACCATAACTTTGCTGCTGTAATGCCATAGTGTACACATAGGAAGGGGTTTTTCCGTCACTGTAGAAACTCTGTCTCCCCAAGCAATGGTAGCTTTCTTCTATTGAATTAGCTGCATCTACACCAGGGTTTAAGTCATCATAGTTATGGCGCTCAGGGGTTTAGATTTTTCACACCTCTGAGCACCGAAGCTATGTTGGCCCAAGTTTTAAGTGTAGACCAGAACACAGTCTTTGCAGGACTGGGATCTTAGCCACTTCTGGGGTGGAAGCACATAGCAAACATGCACCATAGTTCAGAACAGAAAGTGCAGAATAGCAAAGGATTAAAGAAAGTGAAGAACATATCTGAATGTCTAGGGAGACTTTTAGATAGGCAGAATGCAATTATTTGAATGGGAATTCATCCGAGACACCAGGCCTAACATTCCTATCTCTTGTTAAAGTGTTAGAGGAGCTGTAATTACCACAAGCTGTCTTTGGTTTTACGTTTCTTCCTCTGAAAAAGGAAGATTCTGAAAAGCAGGCTAACTATGTCAACAAGGGGGTGATTTTTACTGATGTAATTATACCAGTACAAACCTTAATATGGGCACAATTAGACCAGTATTAAGCTATCTTATACTAGAATAGCTTGTTTCCCTTCCTGTACTGAAATAAGATGTACCAGTATAAAACACATTCATACTGAAATAACTCCTTGGTGGTACAACTGTCTAATGCAGAGAAGGTGTGAGGGCTTGTCTGTATTTAAAACGCTTCCCCACTGCAGCTGCACTGCTGTAGCGCTCTAGTGTAGACACTACCCATGCTGATAGGAGGGATTCTCCCTTTGGCGCAGGTAATCCACCTTTCTGAAAGGTGGTAGCTAGGTTGACTGAAGAATTCTTCAGTTGACCTAGTGCTGTCTACATGGGGACTTTAGGTTGGTTTAACTACTCAGCTCAGGGGTATGGATTTTCACACCCCTGACTGACATAGTTAAACCGATCTAATTTTCTAGTGTAACCAGGCTTCAGAGTCCCTTTTTTTGTGGTTTAACTTAATGCATTTTAGAAGTAGATTAAACTAAACCACACAAAGGCATTTTGGGCGCAGAATAAGAAAGGAATTCTGCAATAGCTTATTCTGGGCTATTTCTCCGTGTAGACAAGCCCTGAATCTCCTACTCTTGAAAATGCAAAATAATTATATAGTGGCCATCACAAGCCCTCAACAACATATAGCTAATGGAATGGTTAATGTGATGTGGTTGTGGTTAGCTAATGAATAAACGTTGACTGTTCCAGATGTTTATTACATAGATGAAACTTTTTTTTTGGTATTTTCTCTTCTTTTATTTGTAGCTTAAGTTTGCTAAGATCAGTGTCAGAAGGTTATTCATTTTTGGCCAATTGTTTTCTTACTGATTCCTGTAACTTCAGATCAGACATTGTTTTCAGATATCTACATTTATTATAAAGCTTAATAAAAATAAAATTGAAAAACCTCACTGATGGATTTGTTGGAGATGCTGCTGATGTTAGAATGAAAAATGCATCTCCTTGTTTTCTCTTCTGAATTATGTTACATTTGATTTTAAATGCAGCAACGTGGTGAAAACTGACATTTCTGGAGGGGTTCAGTACAATTTAGCAGCTCTTTAAAAGCTAATAGCTCTAAGGTGTGCCAGGGACTAGCAAGACAATTAGCACCAGGAACCCTTGACTTTGCTATTGTTGGGTTCTATTATCATGTTGCCATTTGCTTGGCTGTATGAAACCAGTGTGGTTTCTCAGAGGCATAGATTAAATCTCAAGAGAATTGCCACCAGACTCCTTGTTACATCACAATAGTTAACTCATTCATTATTATTTCAGCTCCATCAGTATGAATTAACAGATTTCCTTAATGCACTTGATTTTTGAAAGAGTTTTACTGCTTAAGAAAGTATTTAATCTTCCCCCTCCTTTTTAGTGTGTATTTATTACCAAGGGCACTATCAGTTCAGTGTATTGCTATGGTATAGCAGCCTAATAGCAATGTAAATGTAAACTCTATTAGCTGCATTAAACTTTGCATTCTGTACCCAGTTATTTGCATGAAAGCATAGTGTATAAAGGAAGTTTAAGTGGAACATGTTCTGAATATGTCAACTGGTATCTAGAGAATCATAAGACATGCCTACACAACACAAAAAGATCTAGCTATTGAAGGATGATCTTATGACTGAATTTTAGGAAATTTGAGTTCTGTCCTTGGCTCTTATACAGATTTCCACTTTGACATTGGACAAGTTACTTCACTTTTCTGTACCTCAGTTTCCCATCTTTAAAACTGGGATGAAATGCTTTTGCTTGGCTCCCAGTGGTATTGTGAAGTGTCATTAATGTATGTGAAGTGATGTGCATCGTTAGAGAAACCTATAAATTAACAGTAGCTGGCAAACTAGTTGTATAAATCAGTGGTTCAAAAAACTTTTGTACCGGTGACCCCTTTCACATAGCAAGCCTCTGAGTGTGACCCCCCCCCCCATAAATTAAAAACAATCTATCTATCTATCTATCTATCTATCTATCTATCACCATTATAAATGCTGGAGGCAAAGCAGGGTTTGGGGTGTAGGTTGACAGCTCGCGACCCCCCATGTAGTACCTCATGACCCCCTAAGGTGTTCTGACCCTCCAGTTTGAGAATCCCTGGTATAGATAAAAAGAAAAGGAGTACGTGTGGCACCTTAGAGACTAACAAATTTATTTGAGCATAAGCTTTCGTGAGCTACAGCTCACTTATGCTCAAATAAATTTGTTAGTCTCTAAGGTGCCACACGTACTCCTTTTCTTTTTGCGGATACAGACTAACACGGCTGCTACACTGAAACCTGGTATAAATGGTTTCTTATAACCTGGATTTGCCCCTGGATAAGATGGCTTTGAAAACCATTATCAAGACTATAGGTTCTACCTTTTTGATATACATGTCAGAGGAAAGCTCATGCCTTGTAGTGATAATGAGAGATTTTGCACTCCATAGCTTCATGGACTTTTCACCCTTGGGGAGTATTGCCAAGTGTCAGTCTTCCAGAGATACTTTACAGATCCATCTGCATATCCTGTGGTGTGGCAAAACCAAATCATGGCCAACGTAAAT